TTTTTTACATGTAAAGATATTATATAATATTTATAATTAGCCAGTACAATTATCTAGTCCCAGATTTTAATATCATATTGAACATATTTTTAGTATATTATTTAAAAAAAACAATTTCTTTTCTATTAAATTATTGTTATTATTATTTCAATTCTTAAAAATAATAAATTATGAGTACAACTTGTATTTCTTTTAATTAAACCCAGCTAATATTCTTAAATACTTTAATATTTATTAATAAATATATTTTATAAATATGATGGTAAATTAAAAAATTTTCAATATTTATTAAATACTTTTTTATTAAATTGCATATAAAAATATTCCTACTTAAAAAATTCATATAAATCTAATCATACAGTAATGTATGTAAATGAATAATACGCATCATTTACCTCATACATTTGAAGCGAATGCGCGTACATCCTCACCCATCAACAGATTTATCGCTACTGATCAGTTCATCGCTACTGATCAGAAATGCATGCAAATTAAAAATACGTACATTCATCACATAAATTTACAGCGAATGCGCATACACCCTCCCCCATCAATAGATTTTTCAGCACTAAATTTGAAAAACTTGCCTATGCAGAGAAATATAATTCATCATTCACCACATGAGTGTTGCCGTATAAAAAAGTAAATTGGTAGTAGCTTCGGTTTTTATTATTAATTACACATCATAACAGCATTTAATGATATTATTTCAATATTATATTACAAATAATGTTTTATACGCTCAAAAAATATTTAAGAAAATATAAATCATTAAATAAGATATAATCAATACTGCTTTTTTTATTTTATAAAAAAATTCTCTTCTACAAAAGTTTGTTGCCGAACATAATATATCAAAATATGTACTTTAAAATTTATATGAAAAAATTAATTAAAATTATGAATTTGCTGAATACATATTACATGATTAAGCAAACTAAACTGATTAAAATTGACTGATTTAAATGTTTATATATTAATTTATATATTTATTTATCATATATTGTTATAATTTATATTTGTTGTTATAATATATATTTTGTTTACGTGATGTGATATTATTAACCAAATAAGGTACACACAACTTTTTTATATTATTAAAAGGAAAGCATATGATAAGCGAGTAGTAAGAAATTAATACACTGCAACCCCAAAAGAGAGTAATTTGATGTTATCGTGGTAAAATCACATGTATTCCATACGTGTGCCAAAGTGTAATAAATTTCTCTTCGTTTCGATGGAAGTGGGCGGAGTTTCCGTTCTTGTAAAAGTATTCTTTGTACCCAACATCAGTGGTCTTGGAAATAATACTTGTATATAATTATTCTTAAATAATTTTTTGAGACTGTAAGTACCAAGAGTTAAACTCGTGTCCTACCAAATATGAAACTCAAAGTCAGTGTTCATTAGCCAACTGACCCAAAGCTGTACTTGACTTTTATGTTCGCACATTTTTCTGGAGTTTTGTTAATTTGCTGTGAAAGTTTTATTCACAAATTCACTTGTTTAGAAGAAAATCCTAAACCAGCCGTTTATGAGTTTGTTCTTATTTATATTTTTCTTAATTATATTTTTATTTTTAATTGTTAATTTCAATATCATTCTGTTTGTAGAGGCATTATTTGTTGCATGATTTATATATTCTTTCTTATGTATAGAACCTAATCTAGATACGTAGAAAGTCATGCTAATGTCACCCACGATTCGCACGAGCGGTACCATATGTTTTGTGAATATAAGTTGTAATATAACGTCATTTTTAAGAAAGTTTTATTATAAAGAGAAGATAAATTATTTAAAAGATGTTAAATTAAGTATTTAATAAAAGGTTTTTGCAGTTTCAAATAAACTATTCACCGGCACTGTGATAATTCGGTACCCGTTCCATTTCCATTTCATTTCATACATTGCAATTGTAGGAAAACAAACATATGCGGCAAAAAGTGTGCATTAGAAACTTGTAGACAATTTAAGTTGTTTTAACTGCTTTCTGTTTAAAAACAACTGCAAGGAGAGATGTAGACTCTTAATAAATAATGAATCTTCAAACAAGAAGAATATGTTTGCGTGGATTGCGTCGCCGTAAGTGTGAAATATTTTTTACCGCTGTAATAATTTTGGTAACGTTTCTGTGCTGGTGGCTGAAAGTAGTAAGTAAATTCTCAACAAAAACCTTTTTATTCATTGAATATCCTTATTAGAATGATTAAATGTAAGTCATTATATTGTAGAACAGAAGTGAGCCTAGCAATAATACATATTGTATGCCCATCGATGTTGTTTACACGTGGGTTAATGGGTCCGAGGAGACGTTCATAAAGACTATAAAACAATATGACGCAGGATATGATCCGGCAAGATATGATGACAAAAATGAGTTGCGTTATTCATTACGCTCATTGGAAAAGTATGCTCCATGGGTGCGGCGTGTTTACATTGTCACAAATGGGCAGATACCACATTGGCTAGATTTAAGTTATGACAGAGTCTCCGTGATATCACATGAGGTAAATATATCATTTATAAAATCCTGATTAATAATTATTCAACAAAAATTATATTTAGTTATTAAGCCCTCATCCCGAAACGTTGCCTACATTTTCTAGTGCTGCAATAGAGACTTTTCTTCATCGTATACCTGGTTTATCTAAAAGATTTCTTTATATGAATGATGACATATTTCTGGGAGCACCTCTATATCCTGATGATCTGTACACTAAATCTGAAGGTGTACGCATATATCAAGCATGGTTGGTGCCGGATTGTGCAGATGATTGTCCGTGGACATATATTGGGGACGGTGCTTGTGATCGCCATTGTAATATAAAAGAATGCCAATTCGACGGCGGTGACTGCAATGCAAATATCAAAAGTAAAAGTGTAGAAAATATGATAAATACAAAATTTAATGAGTCGAACCATAACAAAAACTTTGATATAAGAGCATTTCCAACAAAAAAATCTAGACGGCATGCAAAGACCACATATCGAAACTCTTCGTTGCCCTTCAAAGAGTTAGTGAAACATAAAAATTTAACTACACTCAATGAATTGCGACGAATTGTGGATAGTTACAATAAACGTTTGAAATCAAATCCAAAGGAGGTGGCTATTGCAACCACTACAAATCGTACATTAAGCAATTTTAAAATGTTTAAATCCACCAAAGATATATACTCGCAATCACTTATATACACAAACATGCTGCTCAACCAATTTTATGGTTTCAAAGCACGTCATGTGCTCTCCCACATTGGTTTTCTATTGGATCGCGATATAATTAGGGAAATGCAAGAAAAGTTCTCGAGAGAAACTTTTTATACCGCCTCGCATCGTTTTAGAGCTGCAAATGATTTACAGTTCGCTTTTGTCTATTATTCCTATTTAATGAGTGAAACTCGTATGGCTGGTGTGGAGGAAATATTTAATGAATTTGACACTGATGACTCGCTAACCTGGTCGGATAGAGAAGTGAGAACATTTCTCGCACGTATGTATCCATTGCCATTGGATTGGTCGGCAGTGCGCTTTTTTGAAGAAGTCATTAGTAACTGCTCAAAAGATTTAAAGTTAACCAAACGTAATAATAACATAGTATACTCAACTTTGGTGTATGAACGCTACGAGGACTCAAATTTGGTAAATATTAAGTTAAAGCTATTCCAAAAAATAGTACATTAAAATATTCTTTTTACATATTTTATAGCCCACCATAACACGTGAACTTGTTAGTAAGTGTGCTTTGCTAACAGAAGCTTTGTTAACTAATTTTGGTGTACGTTCCAAATATAAATATAATATCAATTCTAAACGTGCCATGCATAGTAATTTTATGATGCTAATTTCAAATGTTTCCAATGTTGTAGATAATTTGGATAAAATAAGACAAAATCCAAGGTGAGGAATTACCTTAATTTATCAACATAAAATAATTTGATTAAATAACTCGTTGATATTATTTTTTAGAAAGTTTAATTGTATCAATGATAATCTTGATCCGATATTCACTGAAGACAATGAATTGATACGTCATTTATTGGAAGATTTCTATCTTTCGTTTTTTCCAAAACGCAGTAAATTTGAATTGGAAGCGCAGTATCGGAACCGTTTTTCCAATCTCAATGATTATCAACTTTGGCGCAGAAGAAAACGTGCCGTACTCTTTGTTGGCTACGGCGCTACAGTAGTGTTGCTGATGTTCTTGTTTAAGTTTATGTGCATGCATAAGGCAAAGTTTGCACGACGCTATATACAGAATCTGTAAAAATCAGTCCTTTTAAAAATTTTATTTATTTATCATATTTAACCGTGATATCAAACGAATATAGTTTTAATGTATGAATAAGATTTTTGGGTAGATGATTTACAATTATATGACAACTAACTCAGGTGCATTGTATATGCATATAATAGTTGAATATTAAAAAAATGCATAATTAAAAACTTTAACTCCATATTTGTGTTATTCTATAATATTTAATGAGGAGATATGAAACGGCGTTATCAAGGTTTATTGTGCCAGGAATCCATATGTACTATTCTAAAATGTTTATATATGTTTTTCATACTTTTAAAAAATTTTAAAAATAAATAATATTTATTTTTAGTTAAATACTCATATTTAGTGAACAAAAAATTGTGTGCAATATAAGAAAAAATAAATGATTTAATGTCTTAATGGCCAAAACAAAAGTATCATTAGAAATAATTTATGTAACTAAGTAAATGCATTTTAGTTATTTTTTGTAAAAAAATTAATTATTATTTATATTGTTAAAGGTTTATGGGAACGAAAAAAAACTATTAATTTGTTTATGTTAAAACAATATTCAGTCCAGAAGAAATAGTTAAATAAACTACTAGTAGTACTACTTTTATATCGGTCGTTACTTTTAGTATATTTCTATAAGTATTTTCTGTAATTAGAATTCTTAATATTAGGAATTCGCAAAAGCGAATTTGCCGAAATACGTTTAGAAATATACCAAAAACTACGATCGAAATAAAAGTTAAAATTTAAAAAAAAAACAAAATCGACTTTAAAATATTTCAACATAAAAACTCAAAAAATTTAAAACAAAATTTTTACTAGTAGTAGTTATATTAACTACTTCTTCATATAATACATAAATAAATTTAAAATAAAAAACCAACTAGGAGTTTTTTATACCATTCACATAAACCGTTAACAACATAAATTATATTATTAAAAAAGTGAACTTGTAACTATTATTATTTAGGAAAATCATTCAATTAATATTATTAATTAATATTATTATAGAAACATTAAGATATCATTATGATAAAAATTAAAATGACTTAAAATGAAATTAAATAAATAAATGAATTTTATTATAGAAATATTAAATTATTCCTAGGATTAAAATAAAAATTACTTTAATATAATGTAAACGAATTTATTTTCAGCAATGTAATATTGCATTTTCTGATGTATATATGTGCAATACTATACTATATTAATAATTGTAACAATGTAATATCTATGTTTTATATTATATTTACATATGTAATAGTTACATAGATGCAATACACTTCCGATTTAATTTATCTCTTATGAATTATCAGAATATTATTTTTTTTTTGCAATAATTATTGATATTATACTTAAAAAATGAATTTTTACTTATTCAAATTGTAATTTTATTGATGATCGTAAATAAAGAGGCTAGACTTTAGCAAAAAATAATATAATATGTACTCGTACATGCTTCCTCTGAAATTTTAAACGAAAAAATAAAACCAAATTTTAAAGTGTTTATAATGAGCTAAATGTACAATAAAACTAAAACCGAAGGACTTATAGCTAAGTCACTGTAAGCTAAGAGTATTATGATTATGTTTAATGAAGTAAAGTCTTAATTAGGTTTTATGTTTCTTAGAGAAAAGTTTCTCTTAAACAATTCTATTCAAAAAATTTAAGACCTTATGAAGAAAGGACCAGAAATGCAGGGAAAAAGAGAAAAGGAAAATAGCTGTATACTTTTTAGGCCCGGTATTCTACCATAGAAACTTATGTATTGTATTAACCCTTGCTTTCTGGAATCTATATACTATATAGATCTCCACAGGTTATACCAACAATACCTAACTTATGATCTTATCAAAGTAATCTCTGTCAATCGTGTTGATTGATCTTAAAATTTAAGAATCTCAGCTTCAATTAAGTCATGACAAAATGGCGCTTATACGCTACTTGGACTAAAACCAACCAAGCATGATGTAGGCTGGATTAAAGATAGTAAATACTCTAAAACGGTTACCCAATTTATAATAATTCATTTTCACTTTGTTTTACTTATTAAACATGCCGGTGGATTTACTTTCTAAAGAATATTTTAGTCACTTACAAGACCTTTCCCAAAAGAGCTTTTTAGACTTTAGTAAGGGTTCCAAATAGTTTAATCGAGTTTAGTAACGTAACAACAGACCAAAAACCGATTTCTGAACAAACGGCTGCAAAAAGAAAAATATTTAAAGCCGATCGGGTCTACCGCTTCGAATTACTCGTCGCCTTCCGCCTCACGAAGAGATTTCACAAGCAGGTCCGAGCGGATTACAACAATAAGAATGATTGCGTCGGTGGTTGTTGATTAAAACAAATCTAGGTCGAGTAGAAAGAAACTGGAGAGTTCATTGAATCATAACCATAGATTTATAGGACTCAAATTATTAAGTTCATTAGGGCAAAAGAACAGATGAAAATGCCATTTGGAGTACAGCTGAATTTATGGCTTATATGGAGAATTAACGCATTTACTGTTTAGCACGTGAGAATATTTGAACTAATCTATGCTGGGAAAACTCCAAAACTCCTAATAAACAAGGAATGTGTCTTTCTTCCCTAGAGATATCAACCGGAGGAGAGTTGAGACCTTTATTTGTGTGTAACCGTAGTCTTACAGTAGATACTGCTTCGGTATGGAATTTACAATCATTTCTATCTAAAGATGTGTTGTTGAAATCATTGACAGATTGCACTCCAAAAAAAAAAAAATATATATTTCAAAGGATCTAACATAAACCAGATGTATAAAAGACAAAATACCACTTTAGTTTCCGTTGCACCGAGATTATGTAGATTAATTCATATTATATATAAGGATAATTCTGAAAAGCAATTTAATTATATTTTTATTGATCAAATATATATTTTATTTAGAACATATTTAATTTTTAATACTATTAATAATTTATTAACATATATGTATGTATATATATATATATATCTATATATAATTTATTTTTTTAATTTAGTGAACATTTTCCTCTACAGTTTTGTTAAAATTTAAAATTTTTCCAAACTACTTATAATTTATTTATAATTATATTTTATTTTAATTTTTATTTTTATTTTTATTACTGCATTAATAGTTTTTCTCTGCTTAGACCAGTTGTAATATTTATAGCTTTATATACACACATATATGTATGTGTATATATATATAGATTTATTTGTAATTTGTTAGTTTCATTATATTGCTATTAATTCTGCTATTTGTGTTTTATATTAGCTTTAAGTTATCACGTAAAAATATAATTTTTATCACTACTTCGATTAAAATACGTAACACACACCCACTACTTTTTAGTATTTATCGTATTTTTTTATTTCAAAATTTTTTCAATTTTATATATATACGATTTAAATATTTTTCAAAACTAATTTCAAAAATAATTTATTATTTAGTTTTTTTTTTTTAAATATTTTTTTGATATATTATTTAGAAATATTTACGGAACAGCGTCGATAAAAATAAAAAGCTCTTCTAAAAAGAAAATTAAATTAATTTTTATTATAATTAATATATGTGCATTAAAAATGAGGTTAACTTTATAAAAAATAGATGAGATTTTCAATTAAGAAAAAATATATAAATAAAAATAATTTTTAGTTTAAAATAAATATATATATTAATCGAAATATATCAACTGTTAAAGATAAAAAAATTTTTATTCTCATGTAGGAGTCAAAAAATCATAATGAGTATACAAAAATTAATAATTCTCAAATTTTTAAATTAATAAATTATAAAAAAAGTGTTTGAAAAATATGGAAATAGTTTATTCAAATTTAATATATATCTATGTTTACATATATATATTAATATATTATATTAAATTAATAACACATAATGTTATGGCATAAAATATTAGTTTGCTATACGAAAACTTTTAATGTATGTTTTGTTATTGCAGTAATTATAATTTAAAAAACCGAAAACATATAAAAATATATCAATTAATATAACTTACCTAAATAGATAAATAGTATAACATAACATAATAAATATTAAATCTATAAATTAATATAAACAATAATATTTATATATAGATATATATTCAAAACAATATTAACAACTAATTATATTTAATTAATAAATAAATTACACATATTAAAATACTTATAAATAAAAAATATAATATATAATGCATATGTAAACTATTTTATTGTTTACTATTTAAATTATTAGTTAGGTTTAATAAAATAAAATATATAGAAAAATTAAATTTATCAAATAATACATATAAAATATTTAACATCTAAATACAAAATGATATTATGCATTATATTGTTTAAAATTTTAAATATTAATTATGTTAAAATATTAAACTATAATTTGCTCACTAACAAATAAATTTATAATAGATAATATACTTATAAAACTCAAATAAAATATAATTTTATTATTTAAACGATAATAAAATATCATTAAGAGTTAATTATAAAAATATGACTTTACCACAAAACTTTATGAAATGTATAGCTAATTTATATTTATAATAAATTTTAAATATATATTTATTCGTTAAATATAGTTTATATCTTTAGTTATTGCCGAGCTTAAATATAAATACCTAGCTAGACTCTATGGTAACTCATGCTGCACTATTTTTAAATGGTTATTTATTAAATTATTTAACTAAATTATAAATTAAAAAAAAATTAAATACGCATAATTCATTTTATAATAAATACAAAATTAAATAAAAAATATATATAAAATAAATAAAAACAAACACACATACATATAATTAAAATATGATAAACACAAAAATTATCTAAGATTCAACAATTTTTCAAAATAGATAATAAATAAAAAAATAATATTAATAAATAAAAATAAAAATTATAAAAAAAAGTTCAATTATATATAATAATGATATTTATTAAAAATATATTTTTGTATTAAAAAAGAAATAAAAGCAAACAGATTTATATACAAAATAATTTTAATTTATTATTTTGAATATTTTTTTTTAATATATTTAATTTTTGTATGTTGATATTTTAAATCCAATAAGTTAAAAAAATATATATTGAGTAAGAGAAATCTCATGATAAAATATAAAAATAAAATTAATTTATATATCAAAAATAGAATATCTGCTGTTCCCTGTTCCCTTCAAAAAATGGATCAATTGAAAACGAAATTTACGGTTGTTCTCAAAGAACAAATAACAAATTTATTATTTAATTGAAAAATGTGTTGCATAAAATATAATTTTCTGTTAATTTGTTTAAATTTTTAGTAAATAATACATTATTTGAACATTAATGTAAAATAAAATCGATATATTATAATATATAGTAATAATAATAATATGAATAGGAAATACAAAAAAGTATGTATAAATTTTAATTTCGAACATTATATCGATCAATTTGATTTTTTGAAAAATTTTTTAATTCTTTTTTATATATATGCACATACTCCATATTAATATATATATATATTTTACAAAATGTAAAAAAAAATTTAGTTAGTATTAACTCAATTAAAAATAATAATTTGGGAAAAAAGTTGATAACATTTATTAATAACAAAAAATGTTTTGTCAATTTTTCATTATTTTATATATATTATATTGTACAACTTCTATATAATTTGAAACACTCACATCATTTCAACAAATTATATTATATTTGGAATAGTTGAAAAATTATTCAAAAATAATAAAATAATTGAAAGATTGAAAAATTACTAAACAATTAAGAAATAATAAAAAATTTTAAAATATAATAAAAACTTTTAAGTCTTATAAAATTAAAAAGAAGTAATTTTTATATAGATAGCAAATACACGAAACAAAAAAATATTTAAATGTATAATAAAATTCAGAAATAAATTTAATCAATTTTAAAATATAATAAATTTAAAATTTTAAATAGAAATAGTAAATTATAAAACAAATATATTAAATAACATTTGTAATAATAAATAATAAAAGAAATATATAATAACAAAAAATAAATAATAAAAACAATAAATAATAAATAATAACAAAAAAATAAATATTAATAAAAAATAAATAATAACAAAAAATAAAGAATAATAAAATATAAACAGTAATAAAAAATAAATGACAATAAATAATGAATAAAAAATTAAAAAAGTAAATAATATATTTTAACAAAAACAACAATGTTATAAAGAACATTAAAAATAATAATTAATAAATAATAATAACAAAAATAATAAATAATAGTACTGAAATGGTAATAATTTATAATTTATAAAAAATTTAACAATAATAAAAAATAAGTAACAATATTAAAAAATTAATTAATAAAAATAAATAATGAAGGTAATAATAATAAAAAAAAATATAGTAGTAATTATGAAAAATAATAATGAATGATAATAATAATAATAAAAAAGGTAATAATAATAAAAAAGGTAATAATAAAAAAAAAGGTAATAATAATAAAAAATTGCATAATAATAATCAAACAAGAAAAAAAGCAAACTTTATAAAAAATAAGTACTATTAATAATTTAATAGGTAATAATAATTAAAAATAGAATTGAAATAAACAGAGTACCAGCTCCCAACGGAGTGGAGCACTCCGACTATAGTTGATCTTTTGTGTGATAAAAAAAAATAAAATAAAAAAAAAATTAAAAAAAAAATTTTAAAAAAAAATTAAAAAAAAAAATTAAATATAATAATTAAAAAGATAATTAAAAATAAGTAATAACAAAAAAATAAGAAATAGTAATAAAAAATAATTTAAAACAGAGGAAATCAAAATAAATAGTTGTAACTTTAAATTAATATAACGTATAACAATAAAATTAATAACAAAATACTTTATAAATAAAAGTGCATAAAAATTAATAAAGAAATTTAATTTAAAAATTACTTTAAAAAAATAATTTAATAAAAAATTTTTTTTAATTAAAAAAAATAAAATTGCTAAAAAATTCATATATAAAAAAATTTTTATTTAATCAAAAATAAATTTTAAAATAGTCAAAAATAAATTTTAATTTCATAAATTTGAATTATTGAATTAATAATTAAAAATAACAAAACAAAAAATGTTTAAAAACAGCATAAAAACACAAAATATTATTTCAAATATAAATTAATAAAATTATAATTGCATTGATATGAGTGCTAAAATAAACTCGAATTTTATTATGATAATAACATACGACAGACATTTTATTCAAAATTATATTCAAGAAAATGTACATACATTAGAGAAATCTATTTAACGCAGTCAATCAAGAATTTATATATTATATTATTATAATTTCTAATAATAAAAAATTTTGAATATACAAGAAAGTACATGAATTTTAAAACAAAAAAAAAATACAAGTGTTATATTATTAAAAAAATTTGATTGATATATAATGGAAACATACTTAACATTTTTATTTTAAAAGAATATATGATTTTTCAACAGTAAAATTATTTCAATAATTAATTATTCGTTAAATTTAATTTGGCATTAAACTTTTTAATAATTATAGTCAACATTTCTATGTTTTTTAAGATATAAATAAAAATGATACAATTTTTATTTGTCAAGTGGATAGTTTAATTTAGCTTGGAGTGGTAGTTTAATGTACCAAAGCACGATTGAGCTGAAATATTGGCTCAGACTACCATACGCTTATATAAAAATAAAAGCCTAAATTTTTTAATTTGTGAAATGTAAATTCTCAAATTATATATGCATTTGTTGTACATAATTTAATTATTTATTTTCTTATTTAATTGAACTGAAAAGTATTTAAGAATGCATTTATATTTCATCTGATGTTTTTTTAATATTATTAAAATTTATTATTATTATTATTACTGAAGGCCAATTTTTCAATGCACATTTAGTGTTGATTTTTATTTTGCAAATTTAATAAAGTAACAAAATACAATGGATGATGATATTTCCTTAAATTGTATTAACTCAAAGCAAATTTATTTTCTTACGACTTCGTAAAAATTTTTAATAATAAATAAAAATATTACATCATCAATAATTGATTTATAAATATTTTCTTTATAGTTGCCATTTATTTTTCTTCGGTTTAATATACCTTCCCTCAATTATAAATCATGTTAGTTGTGATCCAATAAGCATTATACAATATTAAAATTTATCAAATCATTTAATACAAAGTTGGTACAATCGATTTTATTTTAATGATAGAGTTTTTCTCTTGATATTTATTAATTTTAATTTTAATTTTAATTCACAAAATATTTAAAACACATATGTATATATATGCCCACAATTTGATAATATAAATTCAATGAAGACAAATAATAAGTTTATGTACTTAATTTTTTCATTAATATTTGGTACAAAATTATATATATTTAAATAACTAAATAAATAGTTTTATTTAATGTATTATCTTATTTTATATCTAAATAATCAATAAGAGTGTAACTTGCTTAAAATAAGAATTGCATTTACTTAATTAAATAAATTATTAAAATTTATATAAATCTTAATATAATACAAGTTTAAAAATATTAATTAACACATAATGAAAATAAATCCTAATTACACAAAATACTCTTATTTCTATTTCATTTCAAGATATATTTTATATATTATGAGAAGTGGCCTGTATTAAGATAGATACTCATATATACATAAATATATATAGTATGTGTAAATAAAACAATTGCTGATAATTCTTAAAATAGAAAATTTAATATAAATATACAGTGTTGTTATTGTTGTTCAGCAAGAGAACTTAATTAATTTGCATTAAAATAATTGTTAAATTAATACATTTTCATTTGATTACATTTGTGGTTGTTAAAAGATCGAAACATTATCTTCTAAAAATAAAATCAAATCTTAACAAAATATTTACAAAATGATATGATAGATTATGCGCTCGTTAGTGTATTTGAAATTTTACTACCAAATTTGTTTTTTGCCATTTCATATATAGCTAGTCTAGTGCAGGTAACTAACACCATAGACCCAGTAAACTTTACTTTGTCCATGCTAACAATCAATTAGTTGGAATGTTGACGAGATGTTTTGAAGAGATGAGTTCATTGTTGAGTTAAGTTGTTTGTTGTCTGTTTTCTTAAAGTTGCATACGAAAAAATTGCCAACGAATACGTAGCCTTTTCCAAATATTATATATGTGAATATATGTTTGTATTCGTAGTAAATCCAATAACTACTAAATCTTATTAGAGTTGTCTTGTCGTGCACTGTACTTCGGATTCATTGGCATAACTGTATCGGTAATAAGTTCGTTAGGTGCTTCGAGAACGCCTTTGGCATGTGCAGCTGCAGTGTCACAATCGGTGCGACGTGAGATCAATAGACGAATATCAGTGTGTAACATAAGCCGACCAGACCGTGAAGTTTGGAACCTAACAAATTCAAAATAAAATATGATATATAATTATATTATAAATTATTTTTTATAATTTTTATTTCACACTTTATCTGCTTACCTTAGATGTATAGAATAACGTAAACGTTTCATATTCTCAGCCGATATGAAGTGTCCTAAATTGCTTTGACTATGTAAGCCACCATTTGGTGAAAGGCTATAATTAATGTTTGTGTTATTAATGACATCAGTGCTATTTTTATTATTACAGTCATTGCTATCAATATTATTGTTATTCGCATTGGATTCTGCAAGTAGGTTGCTCACAGTTGAATCAGCCAAAACGCGTTGCCTAATGAATGTTTGATGCATTGTTGGCATATCACGCATGTCATACGGTATGACAAACATGCGTACAACCGTCCCCATTGGATTCAGCAATGTTGCCTGTACAGTACCATAACGTGGCACAGTATAGCCCTTACGTGGTAAGCGTATTTCACACTAAAACAAAATATAAAACGTAAGTTGATTAAAACACGACTGGATTAAAAATGGCTATGATTTTGTTTAGCCTCAAGTGGGTTTTTATTATAATTTTTCAGATAATTTTTTCTAATTAAGCCTATAAATACTAAATTGAATTTTAGTATGTTTTATTGAAAACATATTAACAAAAAAAAAAAAAAAGATATTCTTACCAAGTATGGAGTACTAAGCGATTCACCATGTAACTCATAAAAATAAGCTGTAGCTGGTATAGTTAATTGTGGTGGACAAAAAAGTCCAGATGCACCTAATAAAACTTTAAATCCAAGTACTTCTGTTTTGGGCATAAGACGCTTTTGTAATAAGGTTTCCTCTAAGTTACCCAATAATGGTGCTCGTCCAAACATAGCAGCCATACGTGTGCGATTTTTCATAGGCGATGTAGCAGGACTATATATAGTAGATTCTACTTCTTCATCAGAGAACTGTTCATCTGAACCAAGTGATGAACGATCAGATCGATCGGAAAGGTGACGAGATCGGCGTTTATAGATTGCTGCCTGCTTAGCGAAACGTGGTGAGAGTGAAGGTGAATTCGGCAAAGTAGGAGCTGAAAACGATTTTTGCACTGGTATGTCACCTCCAGCTATATGATTGGTATTATTGGTCGGAGTTTTTGAAGTTCCATTTACAGTTGGTACATCAAAGCAAAAAGCGGTATCAGTTGTTGAACAACGAATTGGTACAGGAGAAGTTAAGCTAGCTTTAATTGTGGCGGCGGGATCACAGAATATGGGCGTCAAATTAACTTTAGGCAAACCTTTACGTGTAAAAGAGCGGGTGTGACTTGGTGGTGTGCTTTCATTATAATTATAACTACTTTCACTATTATAATTACGAGTTATTTGCAACATGCTTGGTTTTTTTGCTTGATTTTGTTCTTTTTTATGTGACTTTTGTTGTTGCTCAGTAGTAGGTGTTTTGAACTGCTTCTCAGCCGTGCTAACACTGTCAACCATAACAACAACAGCATCTCGACCATGTGATTGTTTTTTCTGATTATTCTCGTCACGTTCTTGGAGCACCAAATACCCCGATTCTTTTGTTGAGGAATCCTCAAAAGCGGTTACTTTAGTGGTCGTCAATAAGATTTCCTGTGAAAGAAATTTTAAAATGGATAAAGATTATTCTTTATATAAAATTCATTTTTTCTACTATAAAAATATTTAAAAAATATAGTAATATATTAAGTTTATATGTAAATATGTGTAATTGATATACAAACTTAGCCCAGATATACGATATTTTTGTCAGAACAAAAATTAGAGCCAAACTGAATAATTTTTATAAATTTAATTATTTTCTAAAAAGGCTAGAAAGGTGTCACCTAGTCCTTCCACATCTTCAATGGAAACTGATATTGTTATTGTTGTTACCCGATGGGCAGATAACACAAAAGGTCTTACAAGAAAATACATGGGTTAGGATATGGATAGATAATGATTAAAGGTAAGGGGATGGGTTTAACGAAGAATGAATGGATTGTGGATGGGATTTAAATTGAAATCAACCTGAATCCAGACGGAGAAACCTGGCCATTTTAAGCTTGTGCGTGCAGTGTGACAAGGTAAAATATGGGCAACGTCATGGGAGGTAAAGCTGCAGTTTGGACACACATTAAGACTAGACGTGCGTGACGAGCTTGAGCAGGCCTTGCTGCACACGGGAGACGTGTTCTTCCCGAGAGATGTTAGGCGGGAGCCTATTGAGAATCTTGTGATTCAACCTTGGTATTAAAGAAGATGCTGTATCTGCGTGGAGCCACTGATCGGGCTGACTGACAGAGACTACTGTACGCGACCAATTTACAGATTTACATCTGTAATGGCCAACTAAGTAAATAAGACTTAACTTTTAAGATAAACGATTCAAAGCTCAAATTATATCATTGTCTATCATTGTGTAATGATAATTAATATACCTATATTTTACTAACCTCTTCCATAATATTACTATCATCTTCCTCTTCCTTCAAAGTTGTATATTCAATTTTATCACCAGTGTCACCTCTCCCATCGCCATCTTCGTCATCACCATCATCAGCTATTAGTTCAGTATCATCGCCAGATTCTTCTGAGCGTCCAGAAAAGTTATGTTGAGTTTTTTGTCTTTTGCACACATGGCAATTGGAGCCGCTTGTTGCTGGTGTCACATTCAAGTGATTGTTATTTTGTAAGATTGGTGATAATAATATCGCTGTATTTCCACTTGTAGTTGTTCCTGCTGAATTCATTGCATTAGACGACATGGCAGCTTTGGAGCGCATTTGTTTTTTATTTTTGGCAGCTTTTGGTGTACGTTGTATTGCCTGCAGCAACAGTTCAGCATGATTCCTTGGCGTATGTATATCACTGCTGCTAAGACTGCTGCAGGAGTCCATTTCATCCAATTCGCTTAAGGAATCATTACCGACTTCATAAATTCCTTTACAATTCAAACAGACAAACGTTTTCTCACTGCCACATTGTTGGCAACAAGTCATTGATGTCTGTGTACCAGTTGAGATCATTTGAACATTATTGTTGCCGCGAATAACAGTTGTTTTTACCACTGTGGTTAACTCATTCGAGCTCTCTTTTTCGCATTCTTCCATTGGTTGGTATATACATTTTTCACTATTTTTATTATTATGTTTTTGATTATCGGTTAAATCCATAGAATTATCTGATTTATACACAACCGGCTTTCTTTGTTTTTTGTCTCTTTTCAACATACGCTTCCGGTATTTCATTAATTGCTTTTCACGATGTGAAAGAGATACATTCGAACTTATTGAATTTGTACTATCTCCACCAGGTTTACCAGCGTCACTATCAATATCATTATCATTATCATTATCATTATCATTATCATTATTGCAATCACACTCAAGTTCATCAATGCTCCCATTATTGTCACCAATATAAAACGTACATTTCTGCTTGCCGCTGGCGGACTGTCTCTCCTTCGTGGCAACAACTTGTTCCATTGCTTTAGTTGAGTTAGCTACTTTTATGTCTTTATTATCACAGTTTAATACATCGCATGTTGCTGCTGCTGTTGTTGCTGTTGTTGTTGTTGTTGATGTTGCAGTTGCAGTTGCGGTTGATGTTTTTGTTTTTGTTGTAGTTTTTGTTTTTGTTTTTGTTGCGGTACGATTTAATATTTTACCGACATTTGCTGCTGAAGTGCTGGAACACTCAGTCATTGCAGTTGCAGGCACCGTTGAACTAATTTTTGGTATTCCGCCATTTATGCGTGGAAGACTTTTCAGACAAACTGAAATGCTACAATTTTCGGATACATTAACATTCGGAAAATTGTGCACATTCGGTTTTGAATTAAAGGAAGCAGTTGAATCATACTGCTTGACGCGATAAAATATGTTCAGACGTGGTTTTCGATTTATCATTGCATGACTTAATTCATGGAGCGATGAAGTGGTTGATGTTGGTGATGTTCCGGGCGTTACATTTATATTTGTAGAATTCATAGCAACAAGCGTGGCAAGATCACCTGCAGCACCTGTTGGTGTCGGGAATATAAGGCGTCCTGTATAATAAATTGATTTGTCGGATTTTTTGATTAAATCACACCAGGCACTTATTTGGGAGAAATATAGTTGACTACGTATTGCACTACACAATGAGGTCAATGTCATTGTTGGTGGTGGAACTCTATACAAAAAATAAAAATATCATTAGTTAATGAGGAGAATATTTTTTTTTTCTTTAAAAAATTACTTACTTTTCTTTTTTCGTAATTACCCATTGCTCGAGCAATATTTTATTACCCACAGGACCCAAATACACTTCAATGCACACGGAATCTCCACGTGCAATTATGGCTTCCATTCTAAGGCAGTGAGCTCGCCAACGGGAGCACTAAAACAATATAGTTATTATATATATCATTAAAATATATATTACTATTATATTATATATTATTTATATATATTATATTATTTTAATATAATGTTATTAATATACTATTTAAATATTTTTTTTCAAATATTTTGCCATTTTCGAGTGGTAAATCGGGTCTAACTTTTTTAATTGGGATTCACTTTTAGTGCAATTTTATAAATCGATAGTAAATATTGAATGAGTCCAGATTTACCAATTGAAAACGCCATTTTAAGGTCATTTTAAATAATTCTTAAAAATAAAACAAAAATGTATATATTTTGATACTAACGGTTATATTTAATATAGACATATCACAGATGTGATCCTCAGTTTCAGCAGTCTGAGATTGCGTGCTTAGACCCATTTTTCTGAGGAACTGATCACAGTGTGGACCCTGTTTAGGGTATATTGCACCCTTTGTTGTATTTGATAGATCGTCACTCACAGAGCTTGGAACTGTTGCAGTTGCTAAACGGCCAGTTGATTGTTGTATATATTTATCCTTTTGGTTATTGATAGTAGTACAAACAGTGTCATTCATTACAGGTGACCACATATGTTTCGGTGATTGAACGCAGCTTCCACTGCTGCTAGCTGAGCCTGGTGTATCCGCGATATAAGGACTGGGAAATCTGGGTGGAGTGGCACGGTAATTATATTTTGAAGATGTAGCTGCTATACCAACTGATGGTATATGCTGATTAATTTGATTTGTAAAATGACAAGCTGTATCTGTTGATGGACTGCTTCCTCTCAAACATGTTGTGGCTAATGACTGTAGAGACAATAAGAAATTATCTGTACCAGAAGCTGATGAAGGTGATGCACTTACAGCAGAAGCAACAGCAGAATTAGTACCATGACGATTTAAGAAATCTCGACTTAAAAACTCATATTCATGTCGTAGTGTTTGACATTCACCTAATAGTGCTATAACTTCTGGTTCATCTTTAGTGCTTTGTGCTCTTATAGCAACATTCTGACCATAAACTGAACTAAGACCGGCTCCTGGTGAAGCTTGACGTAATTGACACAATTTCTGTGTCCAACGTTGATGCGTACTCTCTGCCAATGAGCTACCAGGACTACTATGATGCGTATCATATGAGTAAGAGGCTGTAGCACAGCCAAAGGCATGTGGATTCGTTGTAATATTTATAACGGAATTTGTAGCTGCTTTAGATGTAGAGGGCATGGGTGATTGCCTACCATTATTACCAACACCAACACCACCACTAACACCACCACCACCTCCACCATTACCAACTCCGGCACCACCAACTGCTTCAGCATTGTATAGTAACAATTCGGCAACATTCAACTTAGTTAGACGTTGTGTTTTGGATTGATATTCTTCATCTGCAATTCCGCGACCTTCTAGTATCAATGAAGCTAGACCAATTATAACAGATGAGGAGCTCTGTTGGTTATTGTTCGAAGTGTTCCCACTAATACAAATACTAGAAGTGACAGTAGTTGGAGAACTTGAAACTGTTGTTGGAATCATTTTGTTCTAGTTTAATTTCGATGTTTCACTAAGTAAAAAAAATAATAATAAAATTTAATATATTAAACATAAGCATAAAATTCATAGAAATAGACATACATATATGTATGTATAGAATTAATTATGTTCAGCTGTAGTAAATGAATGTCAATAAATACAACAGAACGATTTTACTTTTAGGTGAACCATGTCAAGGTTATGTGCTTGCATAGAAGTGCATCTAACAATGAACATAGCAACAGTTGCACTCTCAAAAAATTGGCACAGTTCTTTATATACATTAAACAACTTTTTTTGCACGATGTTGTATATCGTACAACATCTATTCTAGAAACTGGAGCATCAAATCTAGCTTAAGGCAGTTTGACTTAAAGGAAGTCAAGGACATATCCTATTTAAGCAGGTCACAAGGATAATGGATCACACAATTCAATAAAATCATGAAAAGGTCTGTGTATTATAATGTAAACTCATATGCAACCTCAATGAGATGACCTGGTTTACTTGGAGTCTTAAACGGAAATGCATTCAAATGACCTACATAACACAAGGCACATAACACACTTTTATTTATGTAAAACCTTCGAAGGTGTTTAAATCAATTTATAAATAATAAATTTAATTTAATAAATTAATAAATTTATATTTATTTAAAAAAAAAACCTTTTAAGAAAATCAAAAAATTCAACAAAAAATCATATGCAACATGTTGCTTAAATTTTCATCAACATGTTGATATGTTTGGTTCTTGACCTGGAAATAATAAAAATCAAAAGACAAAATGTAAACAAAAAAGTATTGATAACGTTGTCCACACAAGTAAGCATATAAATAAAAAACATATGATTTTTTTCTCACAAAAACAAAAGTAAAATTCATAATAATCATAAAGAGAGTAAGAGAAGTATTTTTTAAGTGAAGGCAGTGGTAGGCCATTAAGAGCGCACGCACAAGCACTAAGCAATCACATTAAGAGTACAAAATGTATACTGATAACTTTAGAAAAGAGGGGAAGCTGTGGCGGAATATAAGGAAAGCACGTGCTGCACAATACTTTCGTTTGTGTTTGTGCAATTTGTATTTATAGATTCTTGGCATAAGCAAGCAACCGCCACTAATAGGATCAGTTTGGGTACACAAACCTCTTGGAATATATAATGTGACGTAGATCCCCGATTTTATATGTATATAACAATTATTTTTTATAACTATTAAATTTTTTTTTTAAATTAAGCTAATATATTTTTTTAACTATTATATTTTTTAACTTTAATTTTTTTTTTAATTATAATATATTTTTATTTATTATATTTTTTTAACTATTATAAATTTTTTTAATTATTATGTGTTTTATACTATTAAATTTTTTTAACTAATATTATATTTAAAATGTAAAATATTTAAAATATTAAATATTATTTATTATATTACAATATTATTCTTATGTATATTATATATAATATTTTTTTAATACATAAAATCAATTGAGTGAAAACACACTAATATGCTGACATTGAATAAAGAATAAAAAGAATGACTTTGAAAAATTTTTTTGCATTTTTTTTATTATAAAAATGTTTTAAATTATTTTAAGATTGTCAACAGTTATTTAGTTTATATACACATATAAACATTAGCCCATCTGAAGCACACCCTTTTTTGCTCAAGATACATTTGTTGTGTAAAAATATCAACAATCTACACCCCTGCCCACGGCCTAGTTTAGCTTTTATGTTACAAAATAAAAACAAGTAAATGGAAAACAAGGTAAAAAAAGAGGAGTGTTAAATGTGAATAGCTTTGTATTTGTGTGTGCATGTGTGTTAGTGTTGTTTTTAATTCTCAAATGTGGCAACAAAAAATAACTGGTTTACAGCTGATTTTTGTTTTTATTATGCGAATGTGAAAATCAATGTACTTAACCCAAGAGAACTACTATCAATTTGCTAGGGGAATATTGCAGGTTGTGTTGTATACATATGTAAAATGTTTATATATTTATGTATATATATAATATATAAATACATAATTTTTATAGTTTTATAAAAGTAATATTGTTTTATAAACACAAATTGTTTAAATACATTAATGTTTGTTTTTCCAAATACAAATATATATACATGTATATATAAAATACATATATATATGAGTACATAATTATCTAAATTTATAGACAAAGATATAGTACTTAACGTTTTAATTACTTTTCAAAAATAACCTATTTATAGAATTTATTAAGAAATATATTGTCTATGTATGTAGAAGCTGTATACGAACTTTACCTAGAATTATTTAGAAAAAAATGTTTGAACCAAATAGAATATCTTTTATTATTTCAAATTTTGTATTTTTAAAATAATAATTGAATAAACAATATAGAATATTCTTACATATGAAAAAATATGGCAACATAGCCCCACAATGTAAGACTACAGTAGAAAAATAGACAATGGCTCGTCATCTGAACGAGCGAGGAATTAAGGAGTCTTAGACTACATATAGCCGATCAGTGGAAAGTACACATTATGCAGATTAAGTCGAAGAGCAGCATTATTGAGCTATATTAGATGAATTGTAGATGTTAAAACTGTGGTAGTATCTTCAATCGGGCAATCCTATCTAACGCATGAAGGATGGCAGAATTGGGATACTGACTGCCATTGACTCATGATTCTTTTTTTAAATACATAAAGACGTTCCGTTTGAGCTAAAGAAATTTCCTACTTAATGGAAAAGGAAAAACATAAACTTGGTAAATCAGTTGCTACAACTAAAACTTTTTGGTATGCACATTAAATAGATTGTCTCGTCGTAGAGCATAGAGTGGTATTATTTATGACGTGGCTAACTGAAAGTTAATTTGCGAAAATGTATATAAGTTTTTAAATAAAAGTTATGCAAAAAACGCTGCTCTAGAGTAACCGAAAGTAGACAATTTTGAGACTGGACAGAAATTACCGAGATATTCGACAATAATTACTCTAATTAACACAACTGTTAATATGACATAAAATAAATTAATTGCGTAAAATTGATAGAAAATTCTTAAAACTTCAATATTCTATTCATCATGATCTGCACAGATGACAAAGTTTGTCTCAACCTTACCATTACGAATGCTAAACGAATGTCACGCGTCTGTGTTATAGCAACAAAATATGTATATTAATTATATAGAGATATAAAAAAGATAACAATCAAAATAAATAAAATTTTATGAGATATTTACCTCAAACGGCAAAATTAGTCTTAAAATTGATTTTCAATTAAAAACTATGTCAAACTCCTGGTACCTCTACTTCTTTAGCTCTTGCTCCAGATATGTCAAAACGGTTTGATCAACGACATTCTCTTTAACTTCAGTGCGACTGTAATTGAAAAAAAAAGAAAGATTTATTATAAATAAAATATAGTTATTATACATAAATTATTATAAAATATAAAAATGTCAGAAGACATAATAAATAAAAATAAAAAAAGTTGTAAAAATAGGAAGGAGACTATATAAAAAGTTTTTCTTGTATTATTTTGTGTCATTCTCCCTTCTTCTTTTATTCTTTCGCAAATTTTCGCAAAATTTTCGCAAATTATTATTATGGCAGAAAAACTAAAACATCCCCAACCACCTATAGAGTTATTGTACTTTCTCTGAAAAAATATTCCTCACTTAGCTTGAATACAGATTAAAATGATTGATAAATTCCAAAAACATCCTTCGTGTGTTAAATCTATTTTGGTGAGATGAGAGTTAAATATGTTATATTTTTCAAATATTTATCCTCCATATATGTATATTTGACTGCATAATGTATAGGTTTGAGTTGGGTTGGAGTGCTAATCGAGTTAAGGAACACAATAAAGTAATAAGCAGCAATACAAATGGAAAAACTATTATATATACAAAACAAGAAAAAAAAAACAATAAATTTGCAACAACAACGATGTTGATTTATCTACCATAAAAATTCATTTGGATATAGAAAATTTAAGTGAATAATGCGAAATAGTAAACTATCCGTTGTAAGTGCATTATTGGAAATTGAAATTTTGTAAGCTAATTATTGATTTATAATATATCGATATATTTATGCGAAAGGAATATCAACAAAAATATAAGGCCACTTAGTAATGAGAACATTTGTAATTCCGTTAGTGTTTTATAGTTGAAATCTACAGTAAAGCTTCACTAGTCTGAATCTCCAGTAATCTGGAATTCCTCTAATCCGTACCAAATAAGAAATTGGAGCAATATAAAAAGTTTCATTACACATCACAAAGAGCAGTGCTGTTCAGATCAAACACGATCGCGGACCATTAGAAGTCACTGTGCAGATGGGAGGACCGCAGAAACAAGTAGATACGTCCATGGTTTTTTGGAAGAAAATTAAAATATGGTGATAATGTTAAAAAAATATATATTTAATTTATAAAAATAAAATAATACAATTTTAGCAAAATATAGCAAAAGAAAATTTGCGTAAATTAAAAATACATATGTCGTGGGCAGCACATATATTAGCGGTGGTCAGCACGTGGCGTGTGGGTCGTGCTTTGGACAGCCCCGATATAGAGTATTGATTCGTTAATTCAGGTTGCTTGTTATAGCAAGAAGATGTTGAGAAAGATTATCAAAAAGTTAACCATGATAATGCAATGAAAAGTTTCAATAGTTATAAAGGACAACAAAGCGGATTTAAATACAGTAAGTACTCTTAGGATACTTCGTCAATTCGACTCCATTTCGAATTTGATCAGTTGGTTTTAACCCTTTCCAAGTTTTTAATTTACATAAATTTATGAAAATCTTCAAAGCTCTTTGTTTTAGTGGATTTTTTCTTTATGATCAGCATTTTGCGCCACATAATTTTATGAAAGACTGTTATATACAGTTTTGCATTTGTATTTGTTCTCATTTATATCTTGACTTCAATCGTTTATAGATCATAATCATTAATTGAGATGTTGACACTACTAATTAACCTTTTTGTACAAAAAATCTTAATATAATCTCTGCTTAATAAGAATAAAGTTGTTTTTTTGAGCAGACATTATATATATTATGTCTCATTCTAGTGTCTTTTATTAATGTAAATTGAACTTATCGTTAGATATAAGTATTAAATATAAAAAATGAAATATTCCTATATATATATCAACATTTATTTATATTAGTTTAATATAAAATTTTGTTTCCTGCTAAATTACTTTATGAATTTTCTGCTTCGATCATATTTTTTCTTTTTTAGTGCTGTTGAACAGCACTTTTTTTTCATAGATTTTTTTCACTGTTTTGGTTCTTTTAGTTGAGATTTTGATTTTCATTTATTTTATTGTATTAATTTCACTGCTTTCATGAGAGGATTGAAAGAGTTTACCGAACAATTGATATGAATTCAATTTAGTGGATCAATTCTTATGTAAAATGTCATTTTCAAGGTATGACTTAATTTTTTTTTTCTAAATGATTTTAAGATGATTAGAACAATATTTAGTTTTACATAATATATTTATCTAGGAAAAGCTTTTTAATGCTGTAATACTTCCGTTTATACAGTGTTGCGTAGTTTTGCTAAGTTCGTCACTGATTATGTAAAACAATATAAATTATTAATTGCGTTATGATTATGTACTGCACCTTAAAGTTGGATGCAGCGATGCAACAATATTCTTCCGTCAATTTGAATGCAGAATTATGTACTTTGCACTTACGAACGACGTCTGTCTTTATGCAATTGCAATCGCTTACGTCAAGTCACAATGTGGCAATCGCATTTACAACTACAGACCCGACCACAGACACCCGACATAAAAGTTGTTTTGACTTTTTTATGGCTTTTAAAAGTTGCCAGAAAATGTTCAATTTTGAATAGCTCAACATACAACAGCAGTGCAAAATTTAAAGTAGATTAGGTTGCCAAATGTGGCGGCGGCTTAGTGTTAGTCGTGCAGTTCGCAACATGTTGCTGCGATACTGAGATACTGCGATACTGCGAGCAGCAAGTATGAATATCGACAAATTGAGTAACGAGTTTTTATGATTTGCTGTAGATTTTCCCTATGCAGCAGCAACTCCGCTTATGTGCGATAAGGTGTGATACAATTTGGGTCATGGCTGCAGTGTTTTAGTTTTTGAAATAAAATTTAACTAATATTAGAAAATTATATAAATTATTTTTGTTAGTTTTACTTTTTCAAACACAGCGAAGTTAGTGTTTGTTGTATTCAATTTATTTTAAAAACCTATTAAGATATCTTTAATAGTTATGTTTATGAGATCTATAACGATCGAACTGAAAGGTACGAACTTGCATAATTTTGAATAAATAAAATATTTTTAAAATGCAAACAGAAATAAACTGTTATATATAAACTTTTTATATAACACCATAAGCTTATATAACCAAAGTATGTAAATACTGTAATACTACAAATAGAGATTAAACCTTTTTCTTCACAAATAAAATAATATGAAGATAATGAAGTACTCATAAATTATTGCATTTATGCTTTTCAAAAATAAAATCTTAAATTTATTATTATATTTCAACACTGATTTGTTGAATATTAATTACTCTAAGTCAGTAATGGCACCCCATTAACGAAATTTCCTTACTTGACTCAATCCATTATTTGATCTGTTCGACCATCAGAAACCAATAGCGCATAACAACTTTATCGGATTCTGCAATGCAATTTACTATTCGATTACACACAATTTCGTGTTTTATACTTAATACGTATGAATAGCAGAGCTAGGATAGCCAATGTGCAAAGCAATGCTCATCTACAAGCACTAAGAGACTACGCAAAAAATGTTTGTTCAGATTCAAGTCTAAAAATAAAAATAAAAATAGGGTCAGAATATACAGATTTGATTTTGTGTTTTTTGTTGATGTTGTTTCGCTCTCTTAATGGATCAAAGAATCCATCGCTGCTTCACAATAAACACAACTATACAATTTTGAGATTATACAGAAATAACGATAAAAAAATATCATCCCAGATTATTATCAGACAACAAGCAATAAATATATAATGTCAGAATCTAATTATTAAGGGCTATAATTTTGCAGTCTTTAATAATTTTAACTATCTGATATTATATGTGAGTTATTGCAATAGTTTGAACATTAAAAAGCAAATCTTTGTTGCAAACTCAATTAAGTAACACCAAAAATATAAATTTTATAAATTTAAAAAAATTATCATTTGCAGGACACTTATCTGCTCAATACCTATTTAAAAATGGGGAACTTGGGTCATAGATAAGTAATGAAATAAAACTTTATTAGAAGAAATTCTAGTGCCAGTAAAGTGGAAATCGGTCAGTATCGAACAAGCACAAATACTGCGATTCTAATTATTTTGAAAATTTGGACAGGGAAGTCTTAGATCGATTGAAATCAGTTTGGAAAGAAAATTCTTTTCCATTCATACATTTCTAATTGAACTTAACAATTATTAGTTAAATTGGCATTTCTTATAGTTCTTAGGATAAATTATTTTCTGTGATAATATTAATTTCGGTTCAATTTTATATCACATTATATTATATTTGGAATTCCACGTAACATTTATTTAAAAAGTAAATAGAGTAAAATTTTATAAAATAATATTTCTAACAAAATGTAATTAGGTATATAAAAACACTAATCTGAAAGCATTGTATACTTAAACTTTGATATTTCCACAATTCAGCATGACATTTTTCAATTACATGTAAATTATATGTATGATTGTAAGTAAATGATATTAAATGACGTTGGCGTGATACACCAAATGTTCTTAAAAAAACAGCTGAATAAAAACAATAAGCTTACTAGGAAATTATGATAATAATAATGAATTATTTTTACATAAAGTTGTATTCGTGAAAAATTTTTCTTAATCATTGATTCGGTGACTCACCATAGACGTAAATAGACATTATTCATTGGAATACTGTCCTGCGATGTTATTAGAAATTCCAACTAAACGACAAAATCATTATTATTTTAAGAAGAAAAATGTGTTTACATTGAATATAGTTAATGTTTTTAATACATTATTGCCATATTTTTATCATATTACTTTGTTTCATAGAACAACAGGTGTTCCTTAAAACACATATACAATACAAAATTGAATATCATTACGAATAACACGTTGGGAACTGGGTGCTCCGCTCCGTTGGGAACTGGTACCCTCATATGTTAACCCGAACAAGTTAAAACTATTGATTTAACTAAATATATCCCTTGGTTTAATATGCCGTAGCTTATTTGGTTCCATAAAAACTAACTAGAGATAATTGGGTCTGTTTCGTCGCGCTCCTGGGATACGATTAGTTAGCATAGGCTAATGACACAGAATCGTTGTTGATTCAAAC